ACAGTCTAATAATGACAACAAAGAATTCAATAGCAATTTAGAATAAGTGACATAGATTAGATTATGTCAAGAAAGTCTTTGAGCACCACATCAGACTGGTGTTGAATATTACATGCATTTTTAAAAATATAACCTTGCATTAATTTGTAATGATTTTTTTCTAAAATAGCTGCAGTCTGGATATCACAAACCATGAATCACAGCTAAAACATAAGCTATAAAAACAAAAGACATACAAATCAAAAGTCAGATATATAAATAATGCCACTCAACAACAGAGCAACTCCAGTCACCTGCAGCATACTGAAGTGAAGCCGATAAACACTGATATAGCAGCAGAAAAAAGTGCTAGGAAAGAACTGACTACTTATTTAGCATTGACACTGAGTGAGGGGTGGGCCCCTACTTCCCTGCATTCTGTCTTAAAAGCCCCAGCAAAGAAGTCAATCCATACCTTGAGAGATTTACATCTGGAGACAATGTTTAAGTTGCAGACCTGTTAAGTAGTTGTTTTCTCTTCTCCTTTTGGTCACTGTATATAAATTCTGACTTGTTCATTCATTTATGGTAAATGGAATCTCTTCTGACCCCTGGATAACTTCTAATCTTAATTAAAAAAAATAAACCAAGCTGCAAGGGAAGTAGGCTGTCACCCTCTCCTCTTACCTTTGTTCTCTTTTAAACAATAAAATGTGATAACACTAAACGTTCGCAACGTTCCAGGGCTGACCTTCACTGTTTATTGCTATTCCTTTCTATGCAAGAGTATTGATAGACAATTAAATGCATAATATTCTTTTAAAGAAGTATCATAGCTGAGATTTAGTAGGCACAAAAAGCAGAATATTACAGGTACTCTTTCTGAGAGCACATACACTCCCTACAACTTTGGGGGCTAACAGGAAATCTTGAATATGGAAACTTTACTGTCTCAGGGGCATGTAACGTGTTAATACTGTGTGGCACCTTTCCTACGCCTACAATCTCATTTTGCTTTTTTCATTCTCCCGTATCCACCCTAAGAGGCCAGCAGCCTTCGGACCTTCGTATGTGTAGGAAACTGCTCATTTGGATATCAAATACTTATATCACAGATATTAAAATATTTGAGTATGAAATATTTGAGTATGGCTAAACTATAGTTAAATTTTTCTGACTAAGAGTACAAATACAATGGTTTTTTTTGGCTGCATCCTTACACAATATGACTGAAAAATAAATAAAAAAAACATTTCTGAAAGTAAAAATACTCTTAGAAATTTATTGTAGCATGAAGAACAGTTTTTCTTTTTCATGTCTGAATACAAAAAACGAACACAATGCAATTTTATCACTTTTTCAAGAAGGAAGAATATTTATCCTAGAAATAAGTGGTAGACTGATTTAGGTTTGTTTGATTTTTGTTTTTTTGATTTTTTTTTCCCTTGTGGGAAAATCACACAGATGCTTAATGTCAAATTATTCTGGGCATCAGGAAAGCTCTCATGCAGAGGGACATCCTCCAACAGAGGAAATGCTGGAAAAATGGCTTCTCTGGAGACTTAAGCGTAAAGTAGTCAGACTAAACTATGTAGGCTTAAAATGGGTTTATTCAACTGCTTAATCATTATTTATTCAGTTCCTTAGTACAAATGCAGTTTGGGTTGCTGTGCTACTGTGTTAGTCCTGTTAGCCCTTTGCAGATGTCCCAAGACCAGCAGGGGAGCAGAAGAGACTGGAAGGACTGCATGTTTGGATATTCACTCACAGTTTCAGAGCCTGTGCCTTTTCTTATCTACACACATAGGTAGGAAAAAATCAGGTCCTCTTTGATAAGTTAGCACTACCATTAGAAATTATAATAAATATTTTTATTCATCATATATGATTTATTTTCTCTTTTGCATGAAAATGCCTCCTTGATCATTGGTCTAGCTTTGTGATTTAATGATTAAGTTTACATATTATATATTTTAAATAGGTGTGAAAATCTGAGGTTGATATAGACACACTGAATTATATTGTGTTAAATCTTTTCAATTAGGTTAAATTTGAGGCTAACAGAAATATGCCAATTCAGCTACTAAGAAAAGAAATCAGCTGGAAAACACATCAACTATTTCAAGAAGAAGAAATTAAAATTTTATCACAGAAGCCTGGGAGAAACCTTGAGACATACATGCAGCTTTTAAAAATATGACAGAAGTGGTATTAAAATATAGCTCCAAGATAAGTATTTGAAATAAATGAGAATGTAAGAAAAGAATTATATATTTTTAAAAGTAGAAACTAGAATGAAACTCCGTATTCATAGAAAATTTAATTATACAGAAATGATGAAATCATAGTTGATGTCAATTTTTACTGAATGTTATATAGAGCAGATACATGGACTTGACATGCTGATGGAGGAAAATGAACCAGATCTAGAAAAGAATAAAGAATTTGCTGTTTAAAAGGCAACTGGAAAAAACTGAGATTCTGAGGTGTGCGTATATGTGTATATATTTACCTATAGCATCTAAATTACAAATATTTAATATCTGTGTTTGTCATTTACTGCTAATGCTTTTCATAATCTAGAGTCGGATAAAATTACATCAGATGCTCAACAGCTGAAAATCTGCATAGTTCTATTATTGCTATAGTACTTATGAAGTCAGGAAATCATATATATCTATATCAACTGAGCATCTGTCCTGTTACATTCAAATAGGTTTTCATTTTCATTTACTACATCCCTTTTTCGGAAGTAAATAGTAAATAATATGCTAGCATTTGGATCTCTGGTGGTGGTGGTGGTGGTGGTGAAATAAGGAAATGTATATCTACCGGGCAAGAAAAAACTAATAAGATTAAACAGTCAAGAAACAGGAACAGTTCAAAAGAAAGTTTAGGAAAGACTATGGTTTCTTCCAAGAGAAGTGCCATAAATGACAAATGTGGTTCCCTGTTTCTGGGGCACTCGTTATAACAACACAATATTGCAAGATGAATCTAATGACAAAAGAGAATAACATTTTATTTGGAGGTTGGGCACTTAGTAATAATTAGCCACAGTTTAGTTATTGTTGGGAAAATGGCTACCCATTGAAGAGCACATTGCAGTTTTAAGGAAGAGAAGAATTGATGATATGAGGGCTATTGCCATAAGGAATTAGTTGACGGTAGTCAGAGTCAAGGAAGCTTTAAAAAAAGGTTACCATAATAGTAGCTGTGAAGACAGTCCTAAAGTCTTTCAACACTAAGTAAAATCAGTTTTGTGAGAACAGAAAGGAAAAAGTTGGCAATGGGAACTGATCAAACACTTTCAAGCAAGGCCCACCAAGAGCAGGGGACAAAGTGCAGGGGGGTGGAAACAAAGAGAACAAGCAGAAAAATGAAGGAGATGAGGTTGGGAGAACCATACAGATTTACGGAGACTGTTCATTTTATTTGGATCACTTTTTTCCTTGTCATTGCCTCAGATACAATTGATCACAGGTCTGACTCATGCTGCCTCATCTGTATGAAGCTGGTTGACATTCTTGAGTGGACACTGTCCGTTGTGCTGCGTACCTGTAATTCTTGTAGGACACAAGACGAATATCTAGCTTAACTGACAACTGCAAATGTATTTTGATGTATTATTACCGTTTCTTGTCTTAGCTCACTCTGCTATGGCCAGCTGCTCCAGCATACTCAGAGTGTTTTCATAATTCACAGAGTTCTGATACAACAACAGGGTAGAGCAAAGTGAATAAAGAGAAGTGACAGCAATAAATCAGATTTGCCTCCCTCTGAAGCTTATATATCTATATGGGACAACAAGGACTCCTGCAAAATTGTGATAAATTATATTTATCAGGTAGGTAAACTTCTTGATAATGATAAGTAATTTCAAATCCTGATAATGAAGCCAAACCCTAGTCTCTTCTGACCTCTTTGCGTATCTCTGATGATGAAGAGATGGATTCTGGCCACCTGAGGATTCTCTTTACAGCAGGGAAATCTCTAGACAGCATATAGCAAATATGGTAACATTGACCTCTTCCTGCCTCTTCACAGTCTTTCCTAGACCTCCAGTAAAAAACGTATTTCCATCCAAAAAATCACTTGGCAGAAGCTACTGAGCATCAAATTATTCTTGGCTACTGCTATACTACAGTGCAGTGTCTGCTGCCCATTCAAGTCCTCAATCATTCCGTCATATTATAAGGCATGACTTACATCCATATATGAGTTTGTTCCATGTAACAGAAGAAAACAGGAGTCTTTTCCTAAAGTGTTTCTCAGCAAGTAGGGTGTAGGAATTGCTCCTTTATCTTTTGGCTGATGAGGACCTTTAAAATACCCGGTTCAAGAAATAATATGAAAATAGCCACTAAAAATAATACTTAAGGTTTTAGCCTATGACCTTAATGTGTTTTGAAAAAATTACTATACTGTTTGTGGAATGTACACAAAAGAATGTAAAGGGAGAAGAATAACTGAGATTTCTGAAACAAGTCATTATCATAGAAGAATAAAAGAAATAGTAAAGAAGGCAAAAAAGTTATCTGCCTAGAATAGAACTGGGAGAGCTGCCATAATGGAAGTGTTTTCTAAGGATATGTCATGGTAGGTCATTATAAATTAGAAGAGCATTTTAAGTGCATTGGCCAAATCACTCCTGATATGCCTGGGTGGAACCTCCTTGGTTTCACTGGAATTATATCAATTCTCTCCAGACCTGTTCAAGGTGTCTAAGTAAACCACTTTTCTCTGGTAGTATTTTTGTGCTCCATATGGAATGTGTGTTTTCCTAGAATTTCGTATCCTCTGCCACAATTTACCATAATTTGATCAAACACAGTATTTTGTAAAAATGGACTGGGTTTGATACGCCACGGGCTCGTTCTGCCAGCTCTGAGCTGACGGCTGCCCCGGAGCTGGTGACCCCCCCAGGAGCAATTTCAGAAAGTCCCCTTGGGCTCCGGGAGCGCCCCCAGTGCTGCAGGCGCGCTGGCTCCCGGCCGGCGCGAACACCCAGAGGTACTCACGGCCGTAACTGAGGCGGCAGCTTCGCTGTGTGATCAGTGGCAGACTCTGTCCCGAGCAGCCTGCCGGCTAACCCGGCCAGCTGGACAAAAGGCGCTGCAGAAACCACCTGTCCGCAG